AAAAAACTGAGCAGGCTGGGAGGTGGTATGTGCAGGCCAGCCCTGGCTGGAGGAGGGCTGCACGATGAAGGTTTAAGTATTATCGCAACACAGAATTTATGGTTCCTAAATGTTTGTTTTAACTAGCGTTGAGAACACATATTTGACCACTGTGAACTTGACCTCTGGGTCCCGTTCCCTTTGCCGGGCTGTCTGTGCTACATGACAAGATTTTCCAGCTGACCCCCCTACTGCTGATCCCAGCGCTGGGCCAGCCTGGAGCGGCCCTCCCGGCAGCTGCCATGGTAAACCTCACCACAGATCTATTGGCAAAGCAGCTGTCAATGGCCATTGCAGGCCCACGAAGAATGTGTAATCACCCTGGGCCTCCCCGCCAAGCCTGGCTAACAGGACACTGAGCCAAAAGGGCCAGGAGACGGCCTGAGAGCGTCCTCTCGGTCACTCGGACCCCAGCCATGCCGCAGCCCCCCAGCTAGTGCTCCCCGTGGCAGCATCTCCAGCATCCAGAGTGCATATGACCAGGTCTCCTCCGCGTAGTTTCAGGAACATTTCCAGGGTTAGCTTTTGTTTTTGTTTTTTTTTTTTTTTTCCAAAGCAGTGTGGGCTGAGTGCCAGTGGAAAAGCAATGGAATATCGATTTTCTGTTCCCTGCTAAGGAGAGAACAAGTCATTTGATGTGCCATGAGTTACGTGAGTAAAAACAGAGCCCGCGCTCCCTACAGCTGGCTGTGCTTCTCCCCTATTCATAGAACCTGGCACATGGTAAAAGCTAAACAGATATCCGTTAAATAAATGAAAGAACCATGCATGCATTTACAGAGGGTCTGCAGCATGCCAGGCGCTCGCGGGGGTGTCCTGTCCACCAGCTCTCAGCTTCCCTCGGCCGCCCCTGTCCACCTAGTTTCACTGTCCTCTCTTTGGTTCTTTTGTTTTCTGCCCCCAAGTCCAGTCTCCTCTCAGAGCTGAGCCCACTGGACTGTCTCTCTCTGGACCACACTCACCGCGAAAGGGGGACAAAGAGATTGGAAAAAACCACTGGGGAAGAGTGAGGTCACTTGGGACAGAGGGAGAAAGGGGAGAGGCAAAAATGCTAACAGTGGGGGTAATGCCCCACTCAGAAGATAGTCCCTAAGCCACAAAACCCTCCGAGCGACACATGCTACTGTTCTGGAAAGGAAAATGGTGCCACCTCTTTTGCCCAAATGGGTGTTGCCATCAACAGCTTGGCAACATTAATAATTAGAAAGCCATATCCTGTGCTATGATGTCCACCTCAGAGATCCACACACAAAGGGTGCCTGAAAAGGAACACTGATAGGCAGCTGAGCATCTCTACCTGAGGCCCAGATGCCTGGAGCCCGAGACCACCTTGGAGGATGCCCACAGAAATTCTTTGCCCCTGTGTGGGTCTGCAGTCTGCTTCCTTCCCATCTCTGATTTGCAATTTAAGGTCCACTAAATCTCCAGTCCTCAAAAATATTTGCCCATGGCACATCAAGTTAACTTTCCATCAGCTCAAAACAATCCACACTGGCTCAAAGGGTCACGTTATTTTCTTCACTGGACCAGTCAAACACTGAACAACATGAACATATGCAACCTCTTATGAATAGTTTTTGCAATAATTGTACCCAACCTATGCAAATTGAAATTCTTCAGCTGAACCCTTTAAATTAGCTCTTAAAGTGGGATGTGCTGGGGCATGCCGATAATCCCAGCATTCAGGAGGCTGAAGCAAGAGGATCATTTTATATTCAAAGCAACCTGGGCTATAAAGTTCAAGGCCAGCCTGAACTACACATGAAACCTGTCTCAAACACACATACACAGAATTAGTATAACAATCACTAAAGCTTGGAGTGGCTAAACACAATTGAAATTCCAACTACTGGGAGGCTGAGACAAGAGAATCTGAGGCCAGTGTGGGTAACATGATGAGACCTCATATTAAAATAATAGCTATTACTATAAACTATCATCATTATTATTAAATATCCTGAGTTATACACACTGAAAGCTACATTTGCATCTTATGACTATTATCTTAAAGGGAACTTCACATTGGTTTTTATATTCTCACATGTAATACATCACATCCAGTGCAATTGTTTAATCTTTGCATCTCAAGGATACGAGAAAGGAAGGACAACGCATATCTATTTATTCTGCAACCTAAATATTATTGCGACAGTATTTACCAAAGTAGTTACAGTGACAAAAACTAGTGATGGGATGTTTTTCATTTCAGTTATAAATACTAGAGGTGCTCCCTAAGCAACGAGCTCCTATGTTTAAAAAAAAAACAAGAAACATATATTTAGCCTCTTTTATAGCTCATTTACAGTAAGTCATTCAAGGTTAAATTAAAAAAAAAAACTAAAGATACACAAATTGAGCGTACCTAATCTGGAAATCCAAAAGCCAAAATAGCCCCAAATCTGCAATGTTTGAGTGCCAAGAAGACACCACAAGCAGAAAATTACACCCCTGACCTCATGTGAAAGATCACAGGCAGAACTCTGGCACAATAAAAATACTGTGTAAAATCACTTTCAGGCTTTGTGTATAATGAACACAGGAAACAAATGAACTTCATGCTTGGATTTGGGCTCCGTCCTCAAGATATCTCATTTTATTTGCATGTGTATGTGCACATGCAAATATTCTAAAATTTTAAAGACGTCAAAACCCAAATACTTCCAGCCCCATGAATCTTAGAAAAGGCACAATCACTCTATCACAAAGTTACTCACATAAATATACAAATAAGAAAAAAAAAATACGAAAACCAAGTAACAGAGAAAGATGAGACAGGATTTACTTGGTTGGCTCCAATGTAAACCTAGGAAAATTTCTGGTGTTGTCAAGGCTTTCACCCCATTCTTTTCTACCGTGATACCTTCAACAATCCCACAAAGGAGGCAGGTTTTTAGCAGAATCATCTCTGGAATGGAAAATAGGTCAGAGAGGTCGACCACACTCCCCAAGGCCACACAGCCAAGGAACAATCCAGCATTTGAACACCTATCTTTGGAATCTGCATCCAGGGATCTTTCCTGGCATTGCACTGCTCAGCCATACACACGCTGCCGGACATCAACAGCAGCCCCAGAGGTCCTATCCGAAGATAGCAGCTCCTCTATCTCCCTGCATCTACCAGACACACAGAAAACAAGCCTTAACAGCCTTAATTCATTTGTCAGAATGGCTCATCATTTGAATGCTAAAACCAGAGAAGGAAAGTGACCCTGCATTGCCTACACCCCAGTGCACTTTGCAAGGTACATCCAAGGAGCTGGAAAGGAAATTCAAACCAGAGACATCTGCTGTAGGTGTTGTGAGACTAACCCACAACCTCTGCGCCCTGCAGTAACTGCACAGCTCTACCTCCTATAGCCAACAATCCTCTGGAGCCCTTCTCTGTGTGAACCACTAGGGGCAAACCCAGGCACCCCCAGGCTTTGCCTCCCATGCCTAGAGAAGCAGAAAACGATGAAATGAATCCTTACACTCACAATGTTCTCTTTCTAGGTCAGCCTTGGATCCTCCAGAACATCTCTGGATCCCCAGGTCCTCAGATAACTGAAGACTAAAGAACAGGCTTCTTTTCAGAGAGGGCTCAATGACATCACTTGCCAAGCCTTAGAGCACTCTCTCCAGCCAGCAGGGAAGAGCATCCACTCACCTATAAAACCCTGCCCTGTGTGTTTAACCCTGACCCCGCAGCATCTCCCCTCTCCCCCACCCCGTGCTGTCACAGATGGGCTCTCCCCGTACTGCAGGCGCACCATGGTGGATAGAGTTCTGAGCAGCTGGAGTTACTGGGCTGAGGAGAGGAAACACCACCTGACCTGAGCAAGCCTAAATTCAGGAAAATGCTGACACATTTCTGTCAAGTGTGATTCAAAAATGGTGATTTGATCTAAAAGGCCTACTGCTCTGAGTATTCCAGAACCAGTGGTTTGAGCTGGTAATCAGGAAGCTGTTTATATCCGTCATTACTCCTTGATTACAGTCAATTCATAAAACCTGAGAACCTTTTACAACATGAGAGCCCCGATGCCAAAGCCGCTGTTTCCTTCAGACTGAGGCATTTTCCACCAGACAATATCCCTAGAGTGACAGTATGTGAAATTCTTTTAATTCACCCACAAGTATCTTAACATCCAAACACATTAGGTGATTATTAAATGTTACTTATTATGCTAAATACTAACAAACAGCTGAAAATTTAGAGGATACCAACCACGTGGTAATACCTCGAGCTCGCTCCAGTAAATACCTACAAGTGCTTAACTTCATTGGAGGATATATAAGACCATTTCTAATCAGCACTAGACTTAGCATTAAATTTTTCAGAGTAGCTTCAGTTACATTTTAATTTAACCTTAATTTCACAATGTAGAGGAGAAACATTTTCTGTTCTCAAACCTATATGCATCACTCATACATTTTTCTAAAACCCTGCTAGGCATGCATATTAACTAGGTAAGCTTGGCTGGAAATCCCAGTCCTCAGGAGCATTCTGGAAAACAGATCTTAAAGGTAAGAGGGTACAGGTGGTAGTTTCCAGAAAACTTTAATGCCTTCTTCTAGAACAGGACTCCTATGTCCCATTCCTCAGCACCATCTTAAACAGCATTTTTCGTTCCTTGGTACCATGATTAAAGTGCTTAGGGGCTGGGATACAGCTCAGCAGCACAGCACCTGTCTGGCAAGGGCATGGTCATGTGTTTGATTCCTGGTACCAAAAAATAAATAAATAAAGAGCTTGTACTGGTTCTATCATAGAGCACATTTACAAATGAGAATTCTCTTTCCCCAGCTCCTGATTCGCAGGGGTCACAAGTGAGTATAGGGGAATCTGGAATGCAGTGCCTGGTTCTGTGCAACACACTGCCCCTGGCACGGACACTGTCATTGTCCTGACCTAGCCCTTTGTGGGTGGGAAGAAAAGCTGCAGCTGATAGGTGGACAGTAGTTCAGACCGGGCGACTTACGTTTGGTGCATCTCTGGGAGCCAGGGGCCTTACTCCAGCCATGGCAGCACTGCCCTCCACAGATATTGACCCTAAAACAAAACAAGACTCTTGAGTCCTGCAAAGGCGAAGCTCTCCAAGCTTCCTGCAAGTTCCTAAAAGCCCAGCCTCCTGCTTCCACATGCCTCTCTATTCAAGAAAATCCCAAGGGCTACCCAGGATGTCCAACTCAAAGTTGTCTGTGTAGAAAGAAGCCTTTATGGGGAAAGATGCATAAGCCATAGCAAAAAGGAGACGGCAAGGTTCAAAGAGTCGATATAAAGCCCAAATTAAAGTACACTATCTGGACTAAATCTGAGTTTCAGAGAGATGTGCCTAAAAAAGTGAGGTCACACCAGCTGAAGAAAAACAAAATAAACAAACAAAATAAGTTTTCCCCACATCCCAACTTGTGATTAACAGGGAGGAGGGCGGTGCAGGGAAGGTGCTTACCAGCGCCCAATTACACAAACTTCACAACCCAGAACTCTATGTAGGCTACGACACCGCCCCATCCCGGGACAGCAGACCCCGCAGGTGCAGGGAAGCTGAAGCCCACAATTTCCCAGCGGCTGTAAGTGCTAGGCCAGGGAACCAGGGCCGGATGTTCACAGCCAGCCCTCGAAACAATTTCTTCACTAGCTAAACCAAGATTAAAACTGAGTTGCAAAGGAAAGTTTAATTGATGCTGTGGGATTAAACTGCAGTGACTTCATGTTTACGCCCATCCTCTGGAAGTAGTTCGGTGCGCGCACGGGAGGTTACGCCCCGGGCAGCGAAGCCTTTTGTGTTTACCCGCAGCTGGGTAACAATGCACTCCGCGTTCCACCTCAGGAAAGCGCCGGGCATCCCCGGGAGCGGCCGGCCGGAGGAGGACGCCGCCCCCGGCGCTCGGCGCCCCGACCCCCGCGGGTCTCCGGCGGCCCTGCCGGTCCCGGCGCGCAGCGCGGACGGACGGACGGACGGGCGGGCCGCGGGGAGGGGCGCGCTTACCCCTGCAGCTGCTGCTTCGGGTGAACCTGCAGCCTCGAGGCGGCGCCGCTCTGCGTCTCCTGCGGCACTTTGGAGCGCACGCCTTGCCTGCCCTGCCTGGCGAACGGGGCGGGCGCCGGGTGGCCGCCGGGGCTCCCGGGACGCGCGGGCTCCGGCGGAGGCGGCGGCGGCGGCGGCCGAAGCCCCTGCAGGGCCGCGCTGCCGCCCGGCTTGCTGGTGCGCCGGGTCCGCTCCGAGGGGGCGCCGGCCGAGCCGCGGCTGTACCTGGCGTTGAGGGCGACGTTGAAGGTCCGCGGGCGCGGGGGCCCGCTGAGGGGCAGGGCGCCCGCCGGCAGGCCGGGGCCCGGGCGCACCACGTACGTGATCCTGCGCACCCGGCCGTGCGCGCAGGACGCCAGCAGCGCTGCCCAGAGCAGCAGCCCCCACCTGAGCCAGGGCCCCGCCATCATCGCGGGCCGCCGCGCGCGTCCGGCCCCCGCCCCCGCCCCCGGCCGCGCGGCTCGCGCTTCCCTGCGCGCCTGGGCTTCCCGGAGCACGAGCACCGCCGAGAGCCGGGCGAGGCGGGCAGGCGGCCGGGCCGGGCCGGGCGCGAGCGAGGAAGTGCTGCTGCGGGAGGCCGAGCGGCCCGGGACCCCGGCCGAGAGCGGCGCGGAGCAGGGGGCGGGCGAGGGGGTGGGGAGCGCGGGGAGGGGCGAGGCCGCGGCAGCGCAAGGTGAGGGGCGGCGGCCGCCCGGGACGCTCGCAGGCTGCCCCGCTGCAAAACCTTTAAAAAGTTTCTGTCCCGTGGAAGCGAGTGTCAGCTCTGAACAGCCAATCTCCGGCAGACGTGACGTCAGGCAGTAAATCCTAATTGGGGAAAGCGCGCTAGGAGCCTGAGAACGCGCCGCCACCCTCCACATCCACGGAGCCGAGGACTGGGGGTCGGAGAGGTGGAGGTCCCCGCTGCCCTGGCGCCTGCCCCGGGAGAGCACGGAGGGCCGAGCGAGGTTACGCACGGTCCTTTTCTTCCAGAAGCCCTGTAAGATTTGATACTGTTTCCGAGTCCGCGCGCTTTCTTATCCGGCTCTGCTCGAACGCTTGCAGCAGGGGTTGGTTTAAAATCCCAAATCGCGCCCCGGAAGGGACTGGGCTGTGGGGGGAAAGGGGGGAGTTCTCCAGCGGAAAACGTTTGGATGTATTTCTTTGAGACTGGTTTTTCCCTGTGACTTGAGTCTGCAGTCTTTGGTACCCTACTCCTTGCTTGGCAGATACGAGCGTGCAAGGCGGGCAGCAGGGGGCGCTCCGTAGATAGAGAAAAACAGCAGGACACTCCCACAGAGGCAGCCCTGATCCTTCAGGGTTAGGAAGAGGAGGATCTGGGACAACCCCAAGACATTGTTAGTTAACTATTTTTTAAGTTAGATCAGACCCCCGACATGAAAGGTCACCCAGCCTGTAGATTACCCAAGATCGTATGACAGGAGATGGCTGGATGTTTCAGGAAACCAATTAATAGTGGCATCTTCATTTCTAGCATATGATACTTGACTTGGCAGGAGAGGACCCCATCCCATCTGTCTGAGCACCGGCTTCCTGTGAGAACACAGTCTAACAACTGCTGTCTTAGAACAAATAGCACTAACCTGGAGGGAAGAGATCTGTTCCAGCCTAACACTGCTGCATGTTAGGGCAGTCCAGCCCTCTTTCTCTGAACCTCCATCTTCTCCATCACCTAGAGGAGCTGCATTAAAAGTCTTTTTCAGTCCTAAAAGTCTGTGGCTCTGTGCACACGCAGGGTCCCTCTGGACAGGACCCCTCTGAGCAAGGCCAAAGTAAACCAACCGAGAAAACTGAGGGAGAAAACTGAGCAAGAAGCTGCCTCTCACGAGGTTCTGTATGAAAAATGTCGGCAAACTAATAAACACCATATGCATGCTCCGAAGAAGGCACAAGAGCAGGACCTTCTAGAGGTACAATGCCTTTGTCTTTGAGGAAGCTGTCTGGTGAGAAAGGCAAGATCCAAAGCTTAAAAAAGATAATTAAGCAACACATCAGGAGGGTACTAGAACTCTCACAAGGCAGGACCTGATTTCTATACCATAGTATAGCCCATAATTCTTTATCAGTGTACACATAGTCCACAACCTGCTGGGAAAATCTTTGCTACCTGTAACTCAAATCAGCCCATGAAAATTTTACCTCTCAACAAGGGATGATATAACAGGAGTTTAAGTGGATAAGGAGTACAGTGGGGTGTCTAACAGCAGCCAGCATTCTGCAGAGCCAGGAGAGGAGGAGAGGCCTCAGGCAGGTGAAAGTTCAGGAACTAGTAAAGGACAGGATCACCAGCCAGAATGGCCTATACTAGTCTTCAACGGTAAGTAGGCTTACCTTGTGGGTCACTCCTAGGGCACTGGAGGGTGGATGGCATTCATCAGAGCAGAGGCAGGTGTGTATGAAGGCACAGTCCGGGAATGAGGAGCCCACGTGGCTTTACTTCCCGTGGGAACTTGAGTAAGTCTTGTCATCTTTCTGAGCCTGTTTCTAGACAGCCTGGGAACCTCCCTGATATCCTTGCATTTGAAAATAAATGATCTTTGCCATGCTTTATGACTCTTGCAAAAAAAAAGATTCTACCTTTAAAAATATATAATGCAATCATTCCTTCTGGGATGGTTATTTCAGGCCAGTCTTCAACCCAGTTACAAGCTACTGTATGACAGATGTGGAGAGACCACCATATGTGAATGTTAATCCTGCCCTTTTAAAAGCATACAGAGTTGAGTGCATGTATATACCCACAGCCATTAACAGGGAAATACCATGAGCATGTGCATCCATTCTCTCCTACAGTACAGGCACAGTTTTCCACATAAGTCTCTTGCTATTTGCATAGCTAGCAAGATAATCCTTGAAAAATGTACTGTGCTCCCTGTGTGCTATCATATGAGATGGCTGCTCATCTATTATTCCAAAAGTGAAAGCCCAGTTTCTGTCAGGCTTGGGGACCAGCTTTGCCAAGTCTAGACCCATTTTAATGCCATGGATCTTGGACCTAAACCCCCTTAGGGTTCAAGGTCCATTTATATTGGCAATACACAACTTCCTGGTTCAAAAACCAAGTCTTTAAAGATCTCATAAAACTTCTTGGACTTCAGATGGTTTTTACAAAACAATACTCAGATGAGCTAAGTGTAAATGAATCAGAAAAGAAGATTATGTTTCTCATAAAAACTCATGGGTTTGAGGATTAGGAGGAGAAAGAAAGGCTGGCAAATGCCAAACCATTTTAAAGCACTTTGAGACCATTAGTCAAATTCAAAACGTAGCCAGGTTCCCTCATCTTTACACTTTATGAGTTTTGTAACTGAAAATCTTTTCCTACATTTAAGATCAGCTACAAATCAAATTTAGTGACTGCGTATGATCAGAACTGCTTTCACCCATGTTTTCTGCCAGCCCAGGATTTCATGGAACCCCTTTTGGTCTTTGCAAGTTTCATCAAGAAATTCTTAGAAAGAGAAAGAGGAGAGGAAAAAAACAAAACAAAACAAAACAGGAAGTGAAACACAAAGGGAAGAGCAAAGAAAGGAGGTGACGCTGTGCAATGGAAGGCAAAGTGCTATGGGTCCCCCAAAGGTCCATGTGGTGGTGCCCAGCATGGTGGTACATGGCTGTCAGTCTAGCACTTGGAAGACAGAGCATGGAGGATTGCCACAAGTTGAGGTCAGTCTGGGCTACACAATGAGTTCAAGACCAGACCGAATTACAGAGTGACCTTGTCTTAAAAAACTAAAAGGGTCCATGTGGTAAAGGCTTAGTTCCCAGCATGGCACTGTTGGGAAGGTGGGCACTATAGAGAAAGGGTTTTATGGGAGGTCCTCAGATCACTGGCAGTGTGCCCTCCAAGGGGATCATGGGATCCTGGCCTCTTCCTGTTGTTTTTGCTTCCTGGCTCATATAAGGGGGCAGTTAGCTCCACCACAGGCTCCTTCCCTGCTGTGCTGCCTCTCAGGGGCCCAAGAAATGGGGCAATTTGATCATGAACTAGAACCTCCAAACCCATGAGCTAAATAAACCTTTCCTCTAATAAACTGAGTGCCTCAAGTATTTCATTAATGGCAGAAAGTTTTCTTAATACAAGGGAAAAAGCAGGAAAGGTGATTTGAAAGAAATAGCTGTACACTGGCAGGAGGGGCAGAAATGAGTAGGTGTAAATAAGAGATGAATTGGAATAGCAGAAAAGGAGAAGTCAGTGGATGAAAAAAAGGCAGAGAGAGGAGGAGGAGGAAAGGAAAGGGAATGAAATGTAGGGAAAGCTGCTTTAGAAAGGACCTGTAGCTGCATTTTCTCAGCCTGCTCCTTAGGATCCTGGCAGCCTTTTCTAAACATCAACTGCTTCTGACCTGGACATCAGCTTGTCCAGGTCTGGACTAGAATGAAGCCCATGACGGTACAGTGTGGCTGGCCAGCCTGCATCTCAAAGCAGTGGATCTGGGAAGCTGCACTATTAGTAGGCCGAAGATGGACTTTGTAGCTTGAGACAGTCCTGTCTTGCATTTTCAACTACTTCATAAAAAAATGAGGTGAGAGAGATTAGAAGCATGTGACCTCTTACCTGGACTGACTTTCAGGAGAAGTAATGTGATGCTTTAGAAATAAAGAATGAAAGCAGAGATGAAGAGGCCAGTGTCTGGTGAAGATGCTGGTGTCTGTCTGCTGAGCTAACAGTCTGCTTTGCAGGAAAAATGAATAGAACTGAGAGTCTCCCGTTTCCCTTCCCTTAAGGCATCTTTATCATTCAACAAACATTTGTTGAACAATTACAGGTCCTTCAGCTAGCTAGCCTACGCAGAGCCTTACAGGCTTCCACTTTAAGTGGAGAAGTTAAATGTGCTGTTGGATTGCAGCTCAAAATTGCCCTCAGCCAGTGGATACGTTTGTGCTGGCCCTCCGTGCTGACCCTGGGAAATAGGCCCGGGTCCATGAGGCACCTCCCGTCTTCACTGGTGTGTGGACTCTGAACAGGTAAATATTTGTGTTGCAAATACTGATAAAGACTACTGAGTGGGAAGCAAGATCCATGTGACTAAAAGGCCGAGGCACATGGCCCATCTTCCTACAAATTTAGAAGAGCCAACCGGCAAAAACGGAACTCACTAAAAATAGTTTCAGGCACATTCGTCCTCATTTCTGATTATTCTCCCTTGCCTTTCATATAACCAATGGTAAGCAGCACAGAACAGGGCTGCTGAAGACCACAAAAATCACTCCACCTGTAGCTGGCTGAAAATATGCTAATTAATGTAGCTTTCACTTAGATTTTTTTTCTTATACCAATTTATTTAGTGAAGGATTCTTGCCCTAGTATAAACTGCTGTAAAATTATGGCGGTGGTCTAAAGCGGCAGAAGGTCAGAGTGGAAATGCTTACCACTTCCTGCTGCTGCTTCAGCCCTAATTGCAACTCCCCTTCCGGTTTGCACACACAGAGAATTCCAATCAGCTCCTCACACGTCATCAACATCTGCCCCATGCGTCACTTCCGGTCAGATGTCATATAACCCTCCGCCTCACTGTATCTGGTCAAAGGAGACAGCCCAACCACTATGGCTTGTGTGCTCCTTTCCACGTCTTCAACTCTATAAACCTGTTTTATACTTTTTGCTTCTCTGTTG